CCCTCCTCCCTCTCTCTCCTCTCTCCTTCCATTCCTTCCTCGTTTGAGAGAAAATATTCAATAATGGTTCTTTCTGAGTCTGGTTTATTTTTGTAATCTAGAATTACCCCTTTGTGTAAATGATGGAATATTTAGGCAAACACTTGTCTGAAAATGGGGAGTGCAGCTAGGTATTTCAAAATGGTAGGTGAGATCCAGGCCAAGTCAATAATCCTGAAGATGTTAAGTTTGGGGAAGCCAAGAGGAGAGGCTCTTAGGCTTGGGTAAGGCAGAAGACTAGAAGCCCAGGAAGGTTATCTCTATCGAAGAGATAAGGATATGTTAGAATTGCTAACTTGGTTTTAAAAATAGACTTTGGAACTTCAATTTCCCTATCTAGAAACAACCCCCTTAGTGGCTGATAGTATTAGCAGTTTGGACCTTTCCCTACCTGAACTTTGTAATCCCTGCCTGTGATTTGAAAGATAGCACTGACTACCAATGTGCTCTTAAAAAAAATAAATTTAGTCCTTGATAAAAAGATGTTCATATGAAAAGTCAAATGGGACTTATTGATTGAGTCAGGTTTAGAATACTCAGTCCCTGCTAGTCTAATGTTTAAATTATTTCTCCCATCTGCCAGCCAACTTTTGAATGTCAAGGATATGCTTTGTTCATATTGGTTCTCAGCAAATAGCCGGGAGTGTGATATTTGGTAGCCATCTTGATGGATTAAATTGATTTCACTTTTATGTTAGTGTTGTAGAACAAGTTGAGAGAATTTCTTTTTTTTCTGTTATGTGAAAGATTTCATGATAAATTGGGATTATTCTTTTTGGAAATTTTCTAGAACTCTGTAAGTTGTGGTTTTCTTTTATTTCTAGTTGCTTCATTTCTTTAATAATTAACTATTCAAATTTTATTTCTTTTTGTGTTAAATTTCTCTGGGGATTCTTCTATTTCCTGGCATTTTTCCAAATTGTTGGCATAAGTTGTTTTTTTTTTTTTGTGGGGGGGGTGGTTTCAGAAAGCCACCTTTTATTTATTTATTTATTTTTTATTAGTTGCTGAAAACATTACAATGATCTTGACTTATCATACATTTGATTCAAATGGGCATATATTCTTTTAAATCTATTTTATATTCATATCCTGTTTTTCATTCATGTCATTTTATTTTTTAAAATTGATGTTATTTTGACTAATCTTACCAGAATTTTTGTCTATCATGTTAAGGTTTTCCAAATAACTTATTTCTAGATTTTCTGGTCTTGTCTCTTACATCTTTGTTTCCAAGCTCATTAACAACATTTTTATTTTTATTTTCTCTTTTCAACTTAAGATGGATGTTTGATTTACTAGCTTTCAGCCACTCTGAATCTATTGCTTATTAAATGAAGACAGTTATACTGATATATTTTATAGTTGAAGTTCAGAGGCTGTTGTCAATTACCCTTCAACTGAAGATATAAGAATCCTCAGTTTGCTGAGACTATAAACTTTTTCCCACAATCTTCCCATAGTTCCAGTCCCTTGCCTTGCTAGAGCTCAATTTGCAGTAACTGCTTTCTTTTCTGAATTTCTCTATTGCTGTGGGATCCAGACTACTTATGTGGATTTGGGCCTATGCTCATTTGTGTGATAGATTACCTTTATGTAAGTATGTATCATTTGCTTCTCTATTCTCAGGTAGTCAGAGAGAACTGGGGGTTGCATTTCTCTGACTTTGATGGAACACTTTTCTTCTGCTGATTTTGCAGGCATCTCCAGGAGAAGCTACTGAGGCAGTGAAGGTGGCCATTGATGCGGGGTACCGGCACTTTGACTGTGCTTACTTATACCACAACGAGAATGAGATAGGAGCAGGAATTCGACAAAAGATCAAGGAGGGTGTCGTGAGACGAGAGGACCTGTTTGTTGTCAGTAAGGTAGGTTTTTTTAGCTGCAGGGACAGTGGAGTCCCCGCCACTCTACTCTTAGGCAATGGAAGAGCTGAACTTGCCTTGCTTGGAGCACTCACCAGTCTCCTGATGAGAAGAGATGGCTTTGTTTTCTGCTTGAACCAAAACTAACAAGAAGTATCACAGCTTAATAAACATCCTAAGTTATATTGTATGTAGCTTTATTTGCTTCATATTATGCATTTGATCACTCAGGTAGGAGTGCAGAGATCCCCCAATTGGTAAAATGTTCTTTTTTTTTTCTTCTATAATAATTTATCACAATACAAAGATGTCTAAAAACAGAGTTAATCATTTTCCTCTTCCCTGGCCACATTCCAAATCCTGTATCTTCATCTTTCTGACTGATTCATGTGAACAATCTTCTGCACTTTCTCGGGCTCATGCAGTGCATGTGCTCATATGCAGGGTATTGGTTTGTTTGCTTTTTCAGGAGCAGAACTACACCAAACACATTATTCTACAGCCTGCTTTTTTCACTTATTATTATTAAGTTCTCTTGCTCCATCTTTTTTGCCAACATATATTTTTATTTTTTATTGTGCATTATAATTATACATATTAGTATAATTCACTATGCCATATTAATACATGCACATTACATAATTTGAACATTATCATTTCCTAATACCTTCCCTTTTCCTCCCCTCCTCATAATCCACTTGGTGATCTCTACTGATCTCCCTTCCATTATTATTATTTCAATTAGGTGCGTTCTTAAAATTAAAATTGATTGAGTAATAGGCACTTTGGCTCCAGAGGATAAAGTTACGTAGGATAAAGTTTCAACCTTCATGAACTCTGTCTATACAGAAATTCCCAAGCTCAGAATTACCTGGAGTGATTGGAAAAATGCAGATTCCAAGTTTCCCAGCAGATCTGCTGAATAGGAAGCTCTGGGAGTGGTGCAGGTAAAGAAGGTTCAGGATGGAATTGCAAACCGAAGAGCAGATTGCATATAGACACAGGGAATGAACCACAGAACAGATGCAGGGATCTGTAAGAAGCTTGATGTTCCTGGATTACACAGTGGGAGGTGGCAGGGTGATGTGAAATGAGGCTGGGCCAGGCTGTGAAGGTTTTGGTATGCTATTCAAGGAGCCTTTCCTTTTTCTGGAGACAAAGTAAAACCAAGAGGTCTTTAAGTCAGGCAGTGTGTATTATAGGTAAGCGATATTTATGTTGTATATTGGATATTGTAGCAGCTGAAAGGAGCATGCATTTGAGACAGGCAGGAGACCAGTAAAGAGCAGTGTAGGTGGGAAGTGATGAAGGCCTAAACTGCAGCGGGAGAAGAATGCAGAAGAAGGGAATGAGTGCGAAGGATATTGAAAAGGGTAATTCTTCTAAACAGTACAGGAGGTAGACTAAGTAGTACAGAATTAATGAATTCCTTTGCTTTTGACCTTGAAGCAAATGTTAAAACCAGGAGACCAGAAGTCATGGGTCCAAGTTCTAGCTGTCATTCAGGAATTGTGAATATTAGTTGTTGGACAGCTCATAGTCACAGTGTCAGCATTTGTAAAATGAGAGTTTGAATCTGATAATCTTCTGAATGAATTCCAAATCTAAACTCCCATAATGCTGAGATTTAGTGAACTCTCTATAGGGAGTTTGTCTTTCTGTTTTACTGAAATATAGTTAAGTTTTATCATTCATTGTTGCTGTCTAAGCTGGGCAGAGGCTAAAGGAGAAGCCTTGGTGTATGCTTGGCCAAGGAAGGAGACTTCTGAATATCAAGGTAGTGAGATGGGTAATGGGATTTCTGAGTCTTGCCCTGCAGTCTGAGGATGGGTTACTTCTGAGTGGATCACAGCCAGCAGCAGAAACTTGGGGATTTCAAAAAGTCATAAAAAAATATAATTCGGTCAATATACTTACTGCCTAGAAGCAACTCCTGTTAACAATGTGATGTATTTGCATTTTGTTTTTGTCTGTCCCCCCATTTCTGTTAATACACTATACTTGTCATTTGATTTCATTTAGTCTCCTTTCTTTTACTTTATCTTATGAATTTTCGTGTTCACTTGCTGTGACAGAGCCTTCAGGTCAGCTTCTGTCACAATTAATAAAAATATAGGAGAAGTAATGAGGAGAAAAGCAATCATAAATTTTCCTACTTCCTAGAAGTGAGATGGAAATATCTACATTAATATAAGGCAACATATGTTAACTCATCTGGTTTAACCCACATGGTTATCTACCTTAGTAACGGAGAACCTTGAACATAAAGCCTATTTGCATTGGAAACAAAACATTTGATTGTTACTTCTATCTTTTCTGCCCAATGGCATGATTTTTTTTTCTTGTAATGGTTTCAGTGGATCCAAATAACCATCAGCCCTCCCACCAAATGTCTTCTGGTGTCCTGAATGTCTCCTGAGTAGGAGGGAGGCAGCAAAGCCCTCTGTGTAGACTCCCGTGGAGCTTTGCTAAGGGTGCTGCCACTGTTGTCTCCTGAGAACCTGCCCTGTTGTATTTGTTGTCATCTCAACTTGAATGTTTTGGTCTCCCAGAGAGTAGCTCTGTAGGAACACGGAGCAGATGCTATGTTGGCTCTGGATGGTGGCTGTGTGACTGTGGTCTCCCTTCTCCCTGTAGCTGTGGTGCACCTATCATGAGCCGTCCTTGGTGAAAGTGGCATGCAAAAAGAGTCTGAAGGCCTTGAAGCTGGATTACTTGGATCTGTACCTGATGCACTGGCCAATGGGCTTCCAGGTATTGCTCAGTAAGTGGTTAGACTTATGTGGGTGTTTAAAAAAATATCAAGATGGGAAATAGCTGCAAAGTAAGCAATTACTTCTCATTAATACGGAAAATACCTCTAAAATATGGATCAGGCCAGAACTTTCAAAATTTTTCATGCTTAAGGATTAATAAATGGATATGTATTTTCTGCCACTTGCCCTGTGACAATGTTAGTGAGGTAGGATTGTAAATGAACAAGGGGCAGATTACAAAGCAATATCTACAGCTGCTCTAAGGGTAACTCTAGATTTTGAGACTTTAGGGTATCTTCACTTCCTGTAACCTTTGGATTCTCACTTCATTATCTATCATCGTGATGGTGGTTCTAAGAAAAGGAAAGATCTAGTAATGGAGTCACAAGAAGACTTAAGACTTACTCTTAAGACTTGAAGGAGATCCCTATTAATACCCCATTTCTAGCCTGAAGTCATTAAACATTTAACAATAAGCAGGGAACCAAGATCTTTATTTCTTACCTTGTGAGAAGTGAACAGGGAACTTCAAGGCTGGCATAGACTTTGCTGACCACTCAGTCTTCACAACCCTTGATTTCATCAAAGTAGAGGCTGAGGCCTGCAGAACAGAAGTGGTCAAGCCAGACTAGTACTGCTTAGTGACAAAGCCAAGGCTTAGATGGATATCTCACAACAGAGCTCTTCCCAAACATCTGGATTCTCTCTCCCCCTAGTTTCTAATCAGGGATAATCACAAGCCCCAGTAAGCTTCTTTCTTCTGGTTCTCACAGCCTGGAGAAGAAGATGTCCCTTTGGATCTCTGCGGTGTAGTTATACCTAGTGATACAAGCTTCCTGAAAACATGGGAGGTAAGCTGAGACACCTCCTCTGGCGACATCATCCCTGGTGATACACCTCCAGATAGGAATGGGTATGAGACTTGAATACCTTATGTTCAGACCCTGCGTTGTCTACTTGAGACACAGTGTTTGCAGTGTAAATTAGGAAAGAAGACCTGATGAACTCGGGGATCTCACATGACTTTCTTATTACCTTTCGCTTATGGTGGTATTTCTCTCTGAAATATTATTTTAGGAATAATTAATACAGACCTCCTTTGTTCCCACCCAAAGTTTACTTGTTTTTAATTAGAATTATCATACTTTTGTTTCAGAAAATACAGAAGAGTATAAAAAAAAAATTCAAAACTCCATGTTCCTGTTACACCACGATAGCCACTAGTCGTACGTGGTAGTTCCTTTTAGTTCTCTTTTAAGCATTTTAAATGCTTAAAATGGGGAGGTGGGAGAATCGAATGGAGAGAGGGTCAACAAGTACTAAGCCTGTTTTCAGGGTCCAGATGACAGACAGGTTGTGAGGGCCCAAGACAGTGGTGAGAGGAACCAGGGAAGTGGTGGATTTGAGTGTTTGGATGCCAACTGGCAGGCTGGTGCAGGGAGAGCCCAGTAAGATTCCCTGAGGGCTCTAGCAGAGCTAGCCCAGTACGGGACAGAGCCTAGTCATGTTTGAAGCCCAGGAAGAAAATGCACTTGTTGAATTCAGGACAGAGCTTAAATTCAGGAGATAACATCTGGAGCCACTGGTATGAGGCTGCAAGGTGAAGCCAGGGGTGAACCTGGGGTTACCCAGTTAGAGACATGAGGGAAATGACAGGACACCACTGGGCTGAGCACCACTGTCCTCTCTTATGAATAAGTGGAACGTGGAGACGTGCTACCATGTGTCTCAGGTGTCAGGAGCAGTGCCCAGGGGTTCCTGCCCTTCCTGTCACACTGGGGTGCCTCTCTTTAAAGATTTGGGGTAAACTCTAGGTTTTTCATGTAGCACAAGCTAGGTTCTGGTGTTGGCAGCAGCACGGCAGCAATGGTGCACCTATGCTCATCAGTCACTGTCCTCATGACCCAGTAGGACTTACTCCTGACCATCCACACTGACAGGAAGGCCGAGCACTTCTGAAGAAAGAGGCAGGCTGGCTTGTGGTCAGTGGCAGCTCATGGGTTCAGGTTGTTCTGCTCGTGTGTTCTTTAAAATGCTAAATGGCTAAAGTGGAATAGGAGAGTGACCGTGTACCACTGTGCTTTAAGAAGATGGTCACATAGGTGAAAAGGAAAGTGGAAAAATGAAACCAACAGGGCCCACATTGCCAAACACCAGATCAACAATTATCGGTAATAGAAATATTAGTATTTAAAATGTGCTGGGTTTGCTCAATGCCAGCATTATAATGCTTTTTTGTACATCATTTCATGTAGCCTTGAAACAACCCTCTGATGCGTGTAGACAATATTGTCCTCATTTTGTGACTGAGGAAGTTGAGGCTTATCAAGGTCATGTAATTTGCCCAGTGTCTCCTCACACATGTGAGGCACGGGGTTTGATCCTCAGCCCCGAATGAATGAATAGATGGATGGATGGATGGATGAATGAGTGAATGAATGGATGGATGGAACTGGGACTAGACCTTACATTCAACAGTGGTTTTGAAGTTTCAAGTAAAATATTTTACAGTTTGGGGTGGATCCAGTTTTAGAAGTCCATGCAGAGTTGGTGAGAGAGGGAATTTATCAGAAAAATAGACAGAGCTTGTACATACAGCAAAGTCCTTTGTTCTTTTAGGCCATGGAGGACTTGGTGATTAAAGGGCTCGTGAAGGACATTGGTGTGTCAAACTTCAACCATGAACAGCTTGAGAGTCTTTTGAATAAGCCTGATTTGAAGTTCAAGCCAATAACTAACCAGGTGAGCTGGTAGGAGGAAGGGGAGGGCTTAAGCAGGGTAGTTGGCTGCCCAGCTGTTACCTCTGTTTGGCTATGCTGGAAATGGCAGAATGCATGAATCACAAAGGAGGTGTTTTTCTCCCGTGTTTGTCAAAATTATAACTTAAGTTAGCAGTTAGGCAATGTCACAGGGTGAGCAGGCAAGCGGCTATCTTAAAGCCTTGTATGATTGGACAGCGCCATTGACATGTAGGGTGTGATCTGGAGCTTGATTCTCTATTCACACCTATAGGCATATCCTTGGGTGTATTCAGAAGGGGAAGTCCTAGAAGGTGCCCCCTCCTTATCAGAGGAAAGCAGCCCTTCCCACTGCCTCTCCTGGCTCTTGCAGACTGGCAGCAAGAAAGGGACAGATGACCCAATACCTTCAGCGCAGCCCCTCAGGCTGCAGAGGTAGAGGTACATATTTTTTTCTTAATGCAGAGAAAAAACTTGGGAGCAAAGGACTATTTTGTTTGCTAATCTAACTGACTGGCTTTGAATGTCCAAAGAGAATTTTTGCAACACTTTATTTTACTTAAACTTTTCATTTACATAGACAGAAACGCTCACACCTGTGAGTGGAGCTTTTTACATTCTTTAAACTGAGCATAGCTCCCAACCTGCATCTAGTATACTGCTTCTCCTTTCCACTCTGTATCCCTGTCCTGCAGGGGTAGCCACTGTTCTGATGTCCAGTGACATTGACATTTATAGTTGAGATAGTAACGTGCCATCATTTCTCGTGTCAGGGTGCTTGCCCACAGCATTGTTTGTCTGGTCCCTCCACATGCACGTGAGAGTACAGTCTTCCTTCTCATTTCTGTGTGGAATTCCACTGTGCAGATAGTGAACTTGCCCATTTTACTGGTGTTGGCCCCTGGGTGGGCATTTGATAGCTTCCAGTTTGCAAAAATTAAGAGTAGAGCATCACTTTCTTCTTTTTCTTTCCTTTTTCTCAATTAATAAGCTTTTTTCTTCAAAAATGTGATATATACCATACATACAGAAAGTGTGTGAGTCATAAAGAGTGTAGCTCCAGGAGTGTTCACTAGTGAACATATTCCTGTATTCAGCACCCAGAACAAGAAACGCGATCCTCAGCCTTCTGTAAACTCTATGTCCTGTGCTAGTCCCCATAGGAGTAAGTCCTATGGGATCATGAAGACAGTGACTGATGAGCTTGGGCTGGGAGAGGCAGTGGTGCACCACTGACTTCTAAGACAGTGCAGCCTTTTCTAAGACCTCCTGTGCACACAATCTACTTATATGCATGACAGCTTCTGTTTTGAGTCAGAATTTTTTCTTGAGCAGCATTTTAAATACCTAAGAATGACTGTTGCCTTGTCAGGGTTGTGAGCAACCAGGAGCACAAGAACAGCAACAGGGCCACTTTTCTAGGTTTTCCCAAAAGCTTACCTGGCTGGACACACACGATCCTGAGAGACAGGCATAGTTCTTTCTAATTTCATCTGAACAAACACTTATTTTAAGTCCACTTATAATCTGGAATGGCCATGAGAATTCAGAGCATATGGAAGGGACCACAACCCTGCTCTCAAGTTTCTCAAAATGTTCACCAACATCACCTCTAGTGTGTATTTGTCATATGTAATACCTTTATTTCATTTATTTATTCAACAAATATTTGCTGAGCATCTTCTCTATGTCTCCGTTGCTCTCAGTGTTGGGGTACACCCATGAACAAAACCAGTTGAGATAAAAATCCTTATTTTCATGTAACTTAAATCCTGGTGACAGCAGACAAAATAATGAAATATATGGGATGTGTCAGATAATTGTAGGTACTGTAGATGAAAATAAAGGACAGGAGAGAGGTAGGAGCTGCAGAATGAAGCAGCTTTTCTCTGAGTGACTGAGGAAGGCCACACCAAGCAGGTGATGCTACAGCAAGTGGGTGTTTATGAGGCTACAGACTTGTAGGCCTTTACAGGACCTGGCATTGTGACCGTGGCATGGCCCAGCCTGATCACATGCAGATGAGGATATTTAGGCCTCGGCTTGGGGCCTGCAGCTAGTCATCGGTAACCAAGACACCAATGTCGGTCCCATCTTTTAGAACTTTCTTAGCATGCTGTTATCTGAATTGTGTGGTATGCTGTGATTCTGTTTATAGATTGAGTGCCATCCATATCTTACTCAGAAGAATTTGATTAGCTTTTGCAAAGCCAGAGATGTGTCTGTGACTGCTTACCGTCCTCTTGGTGGCTCGAGGTAAGGATGAGTCAGTGACTATGTTATTTGGAGTCCTGGCAGCAATAGATGCCACCCTCTCCTTTCATCTGGAGAACTGGAAGAATTCTATCAAGAAGGATGAGCAGAATGTGGGGGGTCGCAAAGGGCAGTCACACCTCCCAAGTCCCTGGGCTGGAGAAAGGGAACTGTTACTGGAACCTAGAGTCATTTTTTCCCTTCTTAATTTACATAACCAGCCTCAAGTGACCCCTTTTGCTGAGCTCCCCAGTAGTAAATCAGTCAGCTACTGACTTCTTTACCGGGACTTTTCATAGACTTCTTACTCACTAGATAATGTTAATTCCGTGTGTTATCTCCCCCCCCAAGCCTTGAATTTGTACTGTGCTCCCTTTATCAGCTACCACCATTCACTTAGCCACCTAAGCCAGAACTATGGAAATCATCTTTCCCATTCCCATGGTCCACCAAGACTTATTGATTATGGTGCCAAGAGAACTCAGATGTCTTTTGATCTCTGTTGTCACCATCTCGACTTGGGTGAAGCAAGGATTCCCTCGGGTTCTTAGAGAAGCACCTTAGCTCCTTCCCAGAGCCATCCCATCCCAGTGCATTGCTCAGGGGTAGCTGAAGTAGCTGTTTTCATATAATCATGTCACTTTCCTGCTCAAAAATTCTTCAGGTCTTGGCTGGCCCCTGAGCTGCAGCTGGCCTGGCCTCTGGCTGCCTCTGGCCTCCTCCCTCCCCTTGCTGCCAAACTTTACTGCATCAACCACACAGGACTACCGGTAGTTCCTTGGGTAGAAAAGGGTCTTTCTATTCTCTGTGCCTTTGCTTATACTGATCTTTTTACCCACAAATCTATGTTTTCTCAATTTATACCCTCCTGTTTCTAAATGAAGTTCAATCCAGCATTACCTCCTCCAGGAAGCCCTCCTTCACACAGTCCATGCCACCCCATCTTGTCACTATTTTATTCTTACTTTGTCCCACTGGGTAAAGTCCCCTGAATGCAGGGACTGTATCTTATTCATTTTTCTGCTCTCAGAACTTAGCTCAGTGCCTAGATCATATTAGGATCCTAGGACAGGCTGAAATTATTTGAATTTTATCACTTGCATGTTTTCCATATGAAATGAGGCATATGTATTTGAACTTGGTAGCAGCCAAGGAATACTTGGAAGGCTGGTCATAAATCAAAGCTGAACTTTGGGATAGAAGGGCCTCTGATGGATGAGTGGGAGAGCCAGCAAAGGAAGGGATACAACATGGGTCTTTATAAAGAAAATTGGGCCGTATTTGCTACCTTAGGGACCCTTTGAGGACTCTAACTAGCCCAGTGCTTGAAGCACAGTAATTACTTAAAAAATCATAATAAATGGCTCTTGAACAAATGGTTCCCCACAGATGTATCATAGTCTTTCAAAAGTTCTTGTAGTGAAGTTTTCATGTGTTCAATGTCCACCTTTTCATGGTATTGGAGATATACTTTTCTGAGATTCTCACCATCATCACAAGATTACCTGGCAGTGCTGGAGACCTCTGCCAGGTCTGACAGGAGACAGCCGAGGCATTAGAGGGCCTCTGTCATTGAGCCTGCCACAGCTTGGAGAGCCCACTGCATGGTGGTTTTTGTTGCCACTTGGTTCTTGATAAGAAGTTCAAAATGCCATGAAAAAGGGATGATATGTAGATATCACCAAAATGTTATCAGTGATTTTCTCCAGACAAGTATTTGGGGTGATGTGCTTTTCTGCATCCTTCAAATTTCTAACAGTGAGTGTGTATTGTGATTAGAAAATATGGAACCTTTCATTTGGGGAAAAGGTTTTATTTTAAAGAAAGAAACATCTGTGCTGGCTTACCCACTGCGCTGTCTCTCTCTAGGGAGGGAACGGACTTGCTGAATAATCCCACGATTCGGAGAATTGCAAATCACTATAACAAGTCATGTGCTCAGGTACTGGGGAGGGCTGTCACACCTGGGAACTACTTTCCCACTTCCTCTCCCTCCTGAATTTCTGAGGCTTGTCAGTTTCTAGGAAAGGGTTAGCTCACCTGGATGAGTCCAGGACTCACCAGAACTTCCCAGTGTGGAAAGTGAGTCATTGCTTCATAGTCCCATTGATTTAAGGCTTGTGCTCCTGCCCCCTCCCCTGCCAGGACTCAGGAGGAGATCTCAGGCAGTCCCCTCTGCCCCACCACTGCATGGGAATCTAGTGCAAAAGGGAACAGAAGAGTCCTTTATTACAATGGCTTGTTCTTGCCCTGATTTCTCTGGAGACTGGACACATGTTAAGGAAATCCCATTAAGGTGTGAGCACATCCTTGACCTTTCCTTGGGCCAATGGCAGTTACTACCGAGAGAACTGTTTGGAAAATGCCAGTGAGATTTCTCAAGGACTTAGCAGGAAGGAGACTTGTGGATTCTTGCTCTATAGTAATGCTCAAGCTGTTAGGGAAATGACTTAGGTTTGACCTCATGAGAATACCACTGTGTGATGTCAACTCTCCTCTGCAGATTCTGATCCGGTTTCAGATCCAGAGGGATTTGATAGTGATTCCCAAGTCTACAAACCCAAAGCGGATTCAAGAAAACATCCAGGTAGGTGTTTTCTTTCTTTGATGCTAGAAGGTTTGGGAATTTATATTAGTTAGGGTGGGCTAGCCACCATAACAAACAGGCCCAGCATCCTGTGGCCTTGACACATCTGCTGTCTATTCCTCTGCAATGTCTTGGCAATCAGTCTTACTCTCAGTGACCCAAGGCTCTGGGTTCCTTCCATCTCAAAGCTTCCCTGTCCACCAGAGCTTGGTTTCTTTGCCATGCAGCCCACCATCTGAAGGAGGGAAATGGATCTGATAGGAGAAATTGGGGGAGGCCAGACTCTGGAGTGCACCTCACTTCCTTTCACATTCAGTGGGCTGACATGATGATGGGGCCACACTGACCCTCAAGGGAGGCTGGATGTTGGCCAGCAACATGGTCATGAGGAAGAGGAAGAAGGTTGGTAGCACCTCGTCCATCTGCCACATGGAGGCATGCTCACTGGTCGCAGGAGAGCATGGACCTTGAGTGGTGTTGGTTAAAGGATCTATCCCTGACTCCCATCTAGAGACTAGAGAGGTAGAAGTGAAAAACCAATGGGTAGGTATCTTTATTTACCAGAATATGTATAAAACATAGAAGATGGTGGTTTTTGTAAGGACAGCATTTTGAAACTCAACCAAGAATCACAGAAGTATGTGAAGTTTAATTTTAGAACTAGGTGTGCCTTCAACCCAGAGCACACTCCATAACACAGTAGTTAAGATCTCGGACTTAGGATCTGACAGGCCTACTCACCACTTAGCAGCCGTGGGTCCTCTCTAAGCCTTGGTTCCCATCAGGTGCATCTCACAGGATACTGTAGAGTTAAACATAATGTACATAGTAATTGGCACAGTGCCTGGGGCAGGAAAGTGCCTGGCATTAGCTGCTAATCATCATCATGGAAAATCTCTCATGTAGCCCACACTCATTAGTAACATCAATGCAGTGTAGACCTGTGTGTGCTGGGGATTGCTAGGTGCCTGGATCTGCAGTAAACATAGTTCTCTACCCAGAGATTGTGTTAGTCTTTGGGCTTCCCATCTCCTGTGCAAGGCACTGCTGGATTCTCAGGGCTCAGTACAATAGCTGGCACAAAGCATGCATGCCCAGATGTACCCACCAATTGACCTATTTGGGGCAGTGTCGATGCCTTAGGGCTCACTGTGTGTGTGTCAGGCTGATTAGTTTGGGAACAGCCTCTTTGTTGGCAAGAGCTGCATTCCCAGTAGTGGAGGCAGGGTATCCATGAGGATATATTCTCAAGAGGAGACCTTGAGAATGGGGCAGAGAACCTTGCAGTGCTCAGTCCTTTCCCGACTGGGCCCTTGCCTGTGGGTCACAGGTTCCCTTTCCCACCTGCCACCTGTGCACTACCCTTCATCATTCCTGGAGCATCCTGGTTTTAAACAGTTCAAATCAGCTAAAGGTGACCAGCCAACTCACATACGTGAGGAATGTGAATTTAGCAAGTAAAAGTTCTCTCTTAGATTGCTTCTGACAGGCTTCTGGAACCTAGGCCCAGTCTTGGGCCAGAGGTTAGAATTTGGCATACAGTAGCTGACATTGACTCCTACCTGGGCCCAGCTATGGTGCTCTCAGTCCCCACAGGCCAGCCAGGATTGCTGCTGGAAGGTCAGATACTCAAGAAGATCATCCGACTCATGAATCTGAGGACCTCCAACCCATGATGATTCATAGCTGCACGAAGGTTTGGCAGACGCTAGAAGAGCCACACTGCCCTTCAGTTCACCTGTAGCAGCTCAGCTCTCAGTGCCTTGGATTGGCATGGCCCCTTATGGAAATGGATTTGACTCTAGGACTTTGGGGCACAGTCAGGGTGCCCTGTTCCTTTGCATTAAGTCAGCCACTCACTGGGGAAGATGCTGTCCCTGGGCCAGCCAGAGTTAACCGCCTGATCTTAGGGACTCTCTAAAGCTGTTTTCTTCCCTCCTTAACCCAAACTACTCCACTAGCATATCTGCTCCTCCGATCAGAATTCCCACATTGTGTGTAACCAATTTCTCATGGCTTCAAGATGGTCATTACCTGGGGTAGAGGCTGGCTCCCACAGGCCTCTCAACCGCCAGGGTATATTGGAATCACTTGCTGTGCCTTTGTGTCCTTCTCTGATCAGCCCCTCCACACTGTTGGGTGACACTCATGAAGCACTGTTGTTGTGGGAGTGAGTCACTGTCATCATCCTCAAGTGTGAATGAGGATGGGAGGCGGCAAGAATACTATTCCAGAAGAAACAAAACGTGATTACTCAGAAGAATGGTTCTGTGACATTGATGCTGATAGTGAACAGTTTCAGGGGCAGGTGGCTCCCTAGTTGGTGGGATATATGAAACAAAGTCTTCGTCTTTTGCATGGAAAAAACTTTTGCTGCACCTTTTGACTGTTTCCGTATGTTCTTTACTTCCAAAAGATAAAAGCAGCATGTGTCCTATCTTTTCAAGGTTTCCTAAAGTAGCCAAGGGTAAGCCAACTCCAACCAAGGGATTCAAATCAAAGTGCATTTCGGCCAGGTCGGCTGTGATGCAGGGCAAGTTCCAGAGGCTTGATGAAGTATTTCTTTCCCATCCTCTTGTCCCTTGCAGGTATATTACAGTGGTTTGTAGGTAGTATGCAAATTAAATATGAATGAGTGAATTTCCTTTGAAAATTTTATTTCCAGGTGTTCGATTTTGAATTAACAGAGAATCATATGGATGAAATCATGAGTCTTAACAAGAACCTTCGATTGGCCACATTCCCCACGTAAATATGCCTCTTTTACTCCTTTGTAAAATAAACAGAGAAATATTCCAATTGGATGGTTGACTCATAGTTAGTTACAACATAAATTCTAGGTTAATTAATCCTTCTTACCATAATTCTTCCTTGTTTGAAAATAGGCCACCAAATGAAGTGAAAGACTAATTTATAATCTAGGATATTAAAAGTACATAATTATGTCATTTCAAATGTTTCTCTTAAAATAATAATTCTTTGTTTCTATTTTTTATTCACTTTTCTGTTTTTCAGAACTGAAAGCCACAAAGACTATCCTTTCCACATAGATTTCTGAGAGAGCGTCTCTTCTGGCTGCTGCTGTGCTCACACAAATCGGAAGGTTGGCACCATTGAGCCACCTCTGCAAGGCTCTGTGGTTGCCATAGACCAGCGTTAGCCAGGGAAAGGACAACAGAGTGAGTGTCAGGGGATGCTTGCCTGGAGCAGAGCCTGCTTCTCTGAGAAATTCAAAGAACTAAGTGTCATCTAAGAAATGGAAAGAGTATAGTTCTCTGAGGGCTTGGGAACTGTCCAGGGAATCCCCACAGTTCTGAAGGATCATGTCATGCAAGTTAATCCATGTGGCTTCTATGCTGTAAAAAAAGATATCCTGCTTCCTAGATGGAGAGGTAGCAGTGCACCCTCTACGTGATCTTAAAGCAAAATCCTTACCTGTATGGAAAGGAAACGGTAAATCTAGAGCTCCATCTTTGTCAATACAGAGATTTTTTTTTCTTATTTTAAAATCTGAATTTTAATTTTAATATTATTTTTAAATAAGGTCTTCTAGTAAGTCAAATTATTCTTGTGGAAATAATTTTAATATTATTTTTAAATAAGGTCTTCTAGTAAGTCAAATTATTCAGAGAGGAAATATGGCTCCTGCCCCCCATACCCCCTGGTATGGCCTATCCTCCCTCACTGTAACAGGAAGCGGCCTCCCAGGTGAGCCGAGTGTGAGGTGGTCTGAGGCACTGAGTGCTGCCTTTCCCACCCCTCAGAGTATCTAGCCTCATTCTACACACAGTTCCATACCAACTCTCTGGGGACCCTAGGGGATAGAGCTTCTGTCACTGACCTCAGGCTCCTACTCAGGGAAGTTAAGAAGAAAGAATGTCCAATGCTGCCCCACAGTGCTCCTTATAGCCTCTCCCCTTTCACATGTCTCCACTTCCATCTTAGTATGAGCCTGTCAGCATTTCTGGTGCAAGACTCAGGGTAGGCAGCGTGTGATGTCCCAGCGGCTATAGGAGCTGGATGGGGATGGCTTCCCTCCATGTCTGTTCCATTCTCATCTTATCCCCATTGGGCCAACTGACTTAGGAGAGCAGGTTCTGTAGTCAGTAGTGGTGACTTTCAAGCTCTGTGATACTGAGCAAATGAGTTTGCTTTCCAGAGCCTCAGTTTCTGCATCTGTTCAATAAGAGCAGGCTATTGCTCAGTTCCTCATACAGATTGTCTCCTAGAGGTAGGAATATCTCTTGGGGCTCTGGGCCCCAAAAGAGGGTTTTGCCACAAAAAGACATCTATTACTAATACAACAGCCTCATATGAGAATCATCATGGCAGAGGTAGAATTGGGGTCAGTTTTGTATGGATTGACCAAATCTCCAAGGAAAGGTTTAATAAAAAGACTGTCTTTAAAGACTCTGGGGAGTGCAGGGGCATTTGGGGGTCTCCTACCACCTGCATATTCTCAGGCAGTGTCTCATGCTCCACAACCATGCACTTTAATTTTTCCAGGTCCATGAAAATTTTGACCAAGGCATAAGAGTAGTTATGAAGACAGATAGAACCATTTTATTACCCTAAGGCAATAATCAGCCAGGCAAACTTAAAATATAACTGTTAGGTGTTTAGGATGCCATGCAACTGGGCAAAACCCATTCATTGGAAGTTTTTTTTTTAAATTTTCTGATCTTAGCTGAAATGCCAAGAGAAAAACTTTTAAATGGATTTGTGTTTCAATTTGTATTTATTTTAATAGAAGAAAAAAAGAAAGAAAATATAAAAAAGAGAAAAAAATAGAGAGGTATTACTGAAGCCAGTTCTTACCTGCTCACTGCTTGAAAGCCAATATTAGGAGAGGAGAATTGGTGCAGAGGAAATCAGGTTTCATCAAGGGCAGCACCTGCCTCCAAAAGAACATTTTAGAGAACCCAGGTATGCCCCAGGGCTTTTATAGGGTAGGAAAGGAGGTGCAGCCGTGGGACAACAGGCAGGAAGATATGTCTTTCCTTCTCTCCTTTTTTTCTTTTATTCTTTCTGGCTAGAACACCACAATTGACCTTGGGCTAGCTTGTTCAGTTATTTAGACAAATATGTTACTTTTATGTAAGTTAAACATCTCAACAGTTTATGGATTGTGTGTTAGTTGATGCTCAGGATTGCAGAGTAAGAACGGGTGTTCTACATTCTGATGTTATCCAAAGGTGCACCACATGTTCTGGGGTCTGTAAATCTGAAGAAAGATTATTTAGCCAGTAACATCTAGATCATTTAGGTGCAGCTTTTCTTTAGAATTTAGGATGTCAGACAAAAGGAGAATGTTGTGGTTTAGATCTGGAGTGTCCTCAAAAGCTCATGTGTTAGGCATTGTAGCGTGTTCAGAGGGCAAACGACTGGATCATGAGGGCTCTGATCTCTCCAGTGGATTATAATTTGACTCCACTTACTGGGAGGTGGTGAATACTACTGGCTGGGGCAGTGTGGCCTCGGGGATTATATCTGCCCCTGAGCCCTTCCTGTCTCTCCACCCTTCCCAGCTGCCTTGAGCTGAGCAGATTTCCCACCACCAATGTTACTATGTACACCCAGCAAAGCTTACTTTCATATTTGAGGGGGAAATAAAAATTTCCTATGACAAGAATAAGCTAAAATAATTAATGAGCACCAATCCAGTGCTACAATGAATACTCAAAGATAAACTTTACACAGAGGAAATACAAAATGATTCTCAAAGGTTACAAACAGAAGTTTGATAGAAGAATAATCCAACAAAAGACAATCAAAATGGGATAGAATATACCAAAAAAAAAAAAAAAGGGGGCAGGAAACCACAAACACATATCCATACTAACACTGAATGTTAATGGTCTCAACTCCCCATTTAAAAGAAACGGATTGGCAGAATGGATCAAAAAGCAAGATTAAACTGTACGTTGTTTATAAGAGACTCATAGGCAAAGACATGCCCAGGCTGAAGGTGAAAGTATAGCAAGATATTCCAAACAAATTGTCCAAGGAAACAAGCAGAAGTAGCTATTCTCATATCTGACAAAGCAGATTTCAAGCAAAAATCAATTAGAAGTGACAAAGAAATCCACTGCATCTTAGTAAAGGGAACAATCCAACAAGAAGATATCATGATATTTATTCCCCAAAAGTCAATATACCCAATTACATGGAGAAAATACTCCATGAGATTAAATCCCATATAGAATCCAAAACAATAATTAGAAAAAAAATAATTCTTAAATTTATTTAGAGTAAGAGATGCAGTATACCCAAAATAATATTTAGTAAGAAAAGAAAATAGGAGGAATCACAATGCCTGATCTGAAATTATACTATAGAGCTATAGTAACAAAAATAGCATTGTATTACCATCAAAATAAACAAAGACCAATGGAATAGAATAGAAGACACAGTCAAATGCACATACCTGATATTTGACACAGGTGTCAAAAATATATCTTGGAGAAAGGCAGCCTTTTTAACAAATGGTGCTGAGAAAACTGAAGAGCCATATGTGGAATAATGAAATAGACCCCTGTGTCTCACCCTGCACAAAACTCAAATTGAAATGGGTCAATACTCAGAAGAAAACAGGGTCAATACTCCATCAAAAATGCATTAGCACCAACTTTCTTAACAAGATCCCCAAAGTGCAAGAAATAAAACCAAGGATAAATAAATAAATAAAATGCTTAGGCATAGAAAAGGAATGATTAAGAGTATCAAGAGATAACCTATAAAATGGGAGACAATCTTGGCTAGATACCCTTCTGATAAAGGATTAATATCCATAATATAAAAGGACTTAAATAACACCAAAAAAAAAAACAACCCAATCAATAAATGGGCAAAAGAACTAAACAGAAGCTTTTCAAAAAAAGAAACACAAATGGCCCCAACAAGTACATGAAAAAATGTTCAGTATCTCTGGCAGTCAGAAAAATGCAAATAAAAACTACACTAAGATTTAATTTCACTCCAGTCAGAATGGTAATGATCAAGAATACAAACATTTACTGGGGGAAAAGATGCACTTGTACATTGTTGGTGGGACTACAGACTAGCACAACCACTCTGGACAGCAGAATGGAGTTTCCTGAAAAATAACTAGAAATGAAACCACCACATGGTCCAGTTATCTCTCTCCTTGATATTTTCTCAAAAGATCTAAAATTAGCATACTACTGTGATAGTCACCTCGATGTTTATAGCAGCACAATTCAGAATAGCTAAATTGTGGACTCAATGTATATAACCATCAATAGTTGAACGAATTAAGAAAATTGTGGCATACCCACACACACACACATACACATAAATCATACATCATACATGAACACACACACAATGGAGTTCTACTAAGCCATAAAAAGAATGAAATTATGGCATTAGCTGGTAGATGTTGGAAATGGAGAATATCATGCTAAATGAAATTAGCCAAACTCAGAAACTCAATGGTCAAATTTCTTTCAAATGTGGAATCTGGTGTTAAATAAAGGAAAGAAAAAGGGAGATATAGGATAACAAAGAACCAGTCAAATACAAATAACTCCATGAGTGAAAGCAAGTCAAGTAGAGGAGAGAAAGGAGAGAATGGGAGAGGGGAGGGAGGATAGGAGGGAAAAGGGGGATCATGACTGCAATCAGTTTCCATGCATATATGATTTTGCTGGGATGAACTTAACTACAATATATAACTATAAAGCTCTAATTTTTAAAAAAAGGAAAAAGAAAACTAAAAAACTTAAGATATAAATATGTCATATTAAATATGAATTTAAAATGTCAACATTAATGATCTTGTTTTAAATGACAACTTTGATAACCTGTTTAAAAAAGATGACTAAGAGCAAGCCACTTTAAACCAAGCATTTAATAATACTTTTGTCCCCTAAAGGAGATGGAAAATTCCAGATATTAGACAGAAAAGGGAATTTTTGAGCCTCAATCAAATTTTGACAAAAAGCAAGAATTTCCCATAAGATTCATGAGGTCACACTTGTGTGAAGAATGAAAGCAGCATTGAGGGTCTGGATTGATAAATCAGCTGAAACCTAAATCCATTTCCCCCCAAAGGTAATCTGATATTTTTCTCTTGTAGCCTTTAAAATTCTACCCTTATTCTGTATATTAGTCACTCTCATTAAAATGTACCTTGGTGTGGGTCTGTTGTAATTTTGTACATTTGGGGTCCTGTAAGCCTCTTGTAGTTGATTTTCCATTTTGTTCTTTAGAATTGGGAAATTTTATGATATTATGTCATTGAAAATTGTGCATTTCTTTGGTTTGTATCTCCATGTCTTTGTCTATTTTGATAAATTTAAATTTAGTCTTTTCATGTTATCCCATATTTCTTGGAAGTTCTGTTCATGGTTTCTTACCATCTTCTCTGTGCAGTCAACTTTATTTTCAAGAGTATATATTTTGTCTTCATTTGTCTGAGGTTCTGTCTTCCAAGTGGTCTTCCAAGTTCTATTGTTGATGTTTTCTATTGAATTTATAATTTGTTTTATTGATTTCTTCATTTTGAGGATTTCTGCTTGTTTCATTTTTCTTCCACAATCTCTCTTTATTGAAGTGATCTTTCACTTCCTGTATTCTCTTTGATTTCACTCCTTATACTATCCTTTATTTCACAGATCAGCTTAACTATGTACATTATAAAATCTTTCTCTGACATTTCTTCTACTATGCAGTCCATGGATTCTATTATTGGAACTTCTTGGTTTGTTTGAGGTGCTTTGTTCTCTTGGTTTTTTTAAAATATTTATTATATTTTTAGGTGTAGATGGACACAACACAATGCCTTTATTTTTATGTGGTGCTCTGAGGATCGAACTCCGGGTCCTGCCTGTGCCAGGCAAGCACTCTACTGCTGAGCCACAATCCCAGCCCCTTGTTCTCTTGGTTTTTTTTTTCATGTTGTTTGTGTGTCTTCCCATCTAGTGGTATGGATCTGAGGCAGTACTGTTTCTACCCTGTAATCTTATAGTGTCACTGAAGGCTACCAGTACCTCACCATTAAGGGGGAGACCAATATTAACAGCACCAATGCAAATAATATACAAACTTAAACTTAATAGCTCCTATTAAGGCATCTACAATTCTATCACAATAGACAGAAATTATGTGTTCAATTATTGTCTACAATATAAATACTAAGTTTGCTAAAAGCATTTACCTTTTCAAATGATGGACAAAGATGGAACAGAAGTAGTGTAGGATGTGATGTTATGAGGGAAAAGAGAGGATAGAGGTAAAAATTTATAGTAAGTGTTGGGAGTCGCCCTGGCTCCAAAGACTAACTTCCCCAATCCCCAAGAAGAGCTGTCCAGTAGTGAGCCCTGTTGGCTCACATGATCCTGCTGTCCAATGGTGAGCCCTGCTGGCTCACGTGATCCTTACCTACCAATCAGAAAGCACCCCAGCCAACTGTCAAACCATTCAACCATTAAACTGTCATAACTGTCAAACCACCCCTGGCTCTATAAATATGCAGAGCTGTTCCTAAATAAACGGGCATTTTCTCTGATGGCAAGCCTTGATCGTTCTTTCATTGGTGCCAAAACCCAGAAGGGGGAATGCCTCGATGCTCAAAGGCCCCCTCTCTCAAGGCTTGCTGTCCTCGTCCACTCTTTTGAGCGCTGCTACTCACACAACACTGGCTCTTCAGTAGGTGAGTTCCCCTATCAGGTATCCAACTTCAGACAGGCTACGCAGGGGCTTTGACCATGATCGTCCAGCAAACCTCTGATGCCCAATCTGGAGGAGAGGATGCACCCCACCATGACCTTCACGGTCACGGTGGACTCTCTGGAACCTAGTTCATGAGTGAGAGGTCCTGAGGGGTAGAAGAACAGGCACTCCTCTCTCTCTCTTTCTCTCTCTCTCTCTCTCTCTCTCTCTCTCTCTACCACCTTTGTCCCTCTCCTGACCTATGGGGCCCTTTTCTTCCCTCCCTGTAGACTCCCCCTTATTAAATTCTGCACACAAGATTGGCCTTTCTATCAATTAGACAATCAAATCAATGGCCCCCAGGAGGATCCTTAGATCCTGCAATTCTCAGAGATCTATTAAACTTCTGGGAGCACTCGAATAAGTGGAAGGAGTTCCCCAATGTTGAGGCTTTTTCTCTTCTTTGTTCTCACCCTGACCTATCTGGCAGATGAACACCCTCCCTACCAACCTCCCCCGTCAGCTCTGTCTAGCCCCTCAGGTGCTCCCCCTGTTTCAGCAGACATCTTTAGTTCCCCCCAAACTAAATCCTGCCCCTAGTCCCACAAACCATGGCCCCTTTAAGAGAGGTTGCTGGACCTGAGGGCATTATCCGGGTACATGTCCCATTCTCTATGAATGACCACATGCAATTCGAGAGAAGGTTGGGCTTATTCACCACAGAAGAGAGTTTCAATGGGTCCTCTAGGCTTATAGCCTCACTTATATGTTATTGACTAACACTCTGCTTCTTGAGGAATGTACCAGAGTCTGGGAACTTGCCAGAGCCCATGCGGATGCAACTCACCCTCTGGGGCCACTTGCTGCCCCAGATCAAACTCCTGACTGGGATTATAATACACAAGCTGGCATACAGAATAGGGATCCATTCTCCATATGTATTATTGCTGGGCTCAAAAAAGCAGCATGTAAGGCCATCAATTTCCAAAAATTACAAGAGACCCCATTGGAATTTCTGGATCCGCTTATGAAAGCCCTTCAGCACTAACCTGGATCCCGAAACCCCAGATGGTCGTCATGTCCTTATGACATATTTCCTCTCGCAGAACTACCCCAACATCTGGGCCAAACTAAAAATGCTCGAACATGGCCTGCCACCTCCCAGACTAAGAAATTTCAGATGCTCGCCCAGGCCCTGCAGGGTGCTTCCTTGGGTCGCCGCCCATCACCGAACCAACCCCCCCCCAGGGTGCCTGCTTCAAGTGTGGCAAGGAGGGACATTGGGCCAGGGCATGCCCCACACCACATACTCTGCGTACTCCATGCCCTAAATGTCAACAACAAGGTCATTGGGGCTCTGACTGTCCTAGATCCTGTAGGAGGCCTATGGCCAGTGAACCCTCCGACCTTCTGGGCATGGCAATTGATTGATAGTGCCTTGGGTCCTTGTCCCTGGCCGTAACGATCAATAGACAGGAACCCAGGATGCAGATTCAGGTGGCTGGATGCAAGGTTGACTTTCTCCTTGACACCAAGGCTACCTTCTCAGTCCTGACAGAATTCTGGGGGCAAACAATGCCGTCCACCTCTCCTATTGTTGGGGTAATAGGAGGAAAGACCATCTATCCAAGAAAGACTCCCCTATTACTCTGTTCCATAGACAACTTCCCATTCTCTCAGACATTCCTAGTTATGCCCCAATGTCCAGTTCCTTTGCTCAGCCGAGATATTCTCTCTAAATTCAATACAACAATCAACATATGGACTTCTGTCATCAGTCAGGCCCCAGCATTGGCCTGTTCATCTTTTCTGGCCCTTTTGGCAGAAGACTGGCCATTTTGCTCCACTTGTGAGGCTGACATGAAATACCATACTAACCTGGTTGACCCAATTGTATGGGATACCCACACCCCCTCCACCATTTCCTGCCCACCAGTTAACATTCATCTCAAAGATCCTAACACCTTCCCAAATCAGGCTTAATAATCCTGTCCACAAAAGCTCTTCTGGGCCTACAACCTATTATTCAGGATCTCCTTAGCAAGGGGTACCTCCATCCTGCTCATTCCCCTTACAATACTCCCATACTACCGGTAAAAAAGCCCAACGGGTCCTATTGCTTAGTTCAGGACCTATGACTCATCAACACCTCCGTTAG